GTGTGTTCGCCACAACTTTCTCCAGCTGAACAGAAACAAAGCTCAAGTCATTCTGTTTGGGACTGAAGAGCAATCATCTGGAGTCGGCACACAGCTTCAGCCGTCACAGCCTGAAGCCACTGATCAGGCCTCAATTCTGTGTGATGGACTCACAGCTGACCCCTTAGAAACACATAAAGATAATTAACAAAGACAGCCTTCTATCACCTCAAGATATTTTCTACGATTAGAGGACTAATGTCGCAGCAAGATCCAGAGAAGATAAGCCATGTTTCTCACAGAATTTAAAACAGCCATGTTTTAAATTATATTTAAATTCTGGAGAGTAATTATCTTAATGTTCCTGATTTATGAAGCTCAATAAATGTGGGCAGCACTTGAATGCTATGTTCCCATTTTGACAAATGGCTTTGAGAAAAGGAGTTTTCTGTAACATCTTGTTTAAGACCTACGGACTAAAAGCTCCATCAAACTTTGATTAAGCTTTCAGTAAAATACAAGAGCAAATAATAAAATCCAATCCTTGCATATTTTACTTCTTTTACTGATTGGGGATTAGCTTTTTTTAACAAAACCACCCATATCTTAATGTGTTTTTTATCCTCCTCATATTTATAGGAGGTGATTCTGCACTGAAATATGAATTCATTTTAAGATTGTTTGCAGATCTTTGAAAAACATGAATATTGACGGTCTTTTCTGGGCGAAATGTTTTAAAGCGTTCCTTCATCACAATTACTAGTTTGCTTCCTCATGATGTGCGCATAGTTACTGAAATAGATGATTTCTCAGTTTTTCTTTACTTTTCTTCCCTCTTGAAACAGATGGTTCAAACATTAGCCACCTGCCGTCTGCCGTCTCCCACAGTTCCCGAGCTCCAGGTTCACAAATGAAAACATTTTAATCTTTTATGATGATGATGACGATTTGCTGCTGCTCTTGATGCACACATAGGCGATTAAATATTTAGCCTGATTAAAAGAGAGCTCACTGAAGGTAAACGTCTGACGCTCAGAAATTTACAATGTCTGTTGTTCAGGGAGCGTCAAGTTGAAACGTTGCCTGTTAAAGTCCTTTTCTGCAGCAGGCGTGTTATTAATCATCTTATTGCAGCAGGAAAGTGTGGGTTTTTGTCTGTTTTTCATTGTGCTCAGGGGAAGATGAGCATCAGATGGTAAAACGTCTACAACACAATGTGCTAATTACAAGGACAGATTGAGCTCCAAAAAATTGCAAAAATGATTCAAGATTTTGAATGGAGAAACAGGCAATGAATTTCTTTGACTCTTTTGCTGAAAGCTTCCAACTTATTTTTGTTTCTTATGTCTTGCTTAAAAACAAACAACAGGATCAAGTATTTGCACTCCTGTTTAATCCAAATTAAGTCAGCGGCTCCGTGAGGCCCCTAGGCTAATATGTTGACACAGACCACAGATACATAAATGTAACATTTATTTATTGAGCTTATCAATGCTTCAATGCTATGGTAACAATCTGATGGTGTGAGTTTCATCTTTGAGTTTGAGCTCCGTTTGTTCAAATTAGTAAACTTCAATTATAACTTGTTGCTTTTTAGGTTGATCAGTTCAACTACTTCCCTTCTCCCAGATTACATTTAACACAGAAGTTGTTTGTTGTGGTGCTGATGATTTTAGCAACAAAAGGGGCCCCTAAATCAAATTCTGCTCAACGCTTCATCCAGCCTTGGACCGGCCCTGCATGATGAGTTAAATCCACTGCACTGCGCGCAGAGATGCGCTACAAACGGGAGATTTAACTTAATGCTGCTATGTTAAGTTAAATCTTTAGTGGCTCTTCCATTTCATGTCTGTTGAGTTTTTAACAAGGGGACACAGAAACTATTTTGGTTGGTTCAGTTTATGGGACGAGTTACTCAGATCTCTGTGCACCTTAACTCTGTCTGACTAATTGGACAAAGCATTTGACATGGTTTGATGCTTTGTAACTGGAAAAAATAACACTAAAAATAACAATAAAGCAAAATAAATCATTCGCACCACTCCCTCAACGCACCTCTGAAAGCGCGACTCCAAGTTATTCCTGCGGTTCACGTTGAGCTGCGCAATTAGAGCTAACATGGTGGGGTTTAAACTCCTAAATCTGGAAAGAAACATAATTCCTCACAGGGGGTTGATGCAAATGTCCAAACAGGTCAGCCTGGGTCCAGTTTCAGTAAAATGAGGCACGTGTGATCCTTTAACTGGTAAACTTTAGACATCCAGCTGCTGGCTCTGCGGCGTGATTGGTCCGGCTTTAAATGCATAAACTATAAACTTATCTTTTAGTTATAAATCTACACCGCCAGTGAAACCCTGAGAGCAACAGAGACACTTGCAATCCAACTTAAAAAAAAAAAAAAACATTGACAGGCTAACATTAACTTAGCCTGGCGGTGGGGCTAGTAAAGCATGGCGGACCGCCAGGCCTATAATAGACTGGGGAAAACCCTGAGTAGCTGTTGCTGGCAGACTCCAAGAAGATTTGAATGAAGAAGATTTCATACATCTAAAAAAGTGTAATTTGTGGCTCGGTGGTTTTTGGTTTCTGGTGTTTGTTGCTTTTATTTATAAAATCTGAAATCGATGGTCTGAAATTTTTGACAGTGACAAAAATAGACATTTCCCATTGTGGAAGATTGCTTCAAGTCCAACTGTGCCAATATTGATTAAATGCAGAAGAACTTTATCAAGCCGAAAGCTATACTAAAATAATAATAATAGCTCTTCTGCAGTGCCACAGAAATGTTAAGATTGAAGTTTTACCATGTTGGATGATTGTAGCTGTGAAATTGTAGCTGTGAAAGAGCAGCTCCATTACTCTGAACCAAACTGACAGACAGCAATAACCTCCAAGTTAAAAATTGACCCTATGCTTTGCTTAAAATGGCTCTGTTTGCATGCAGAGTGACTTGTTGAAATGTAGACGGAGTCATTGCATAGAGATTATGCATGCTGGCTGGAGGGTTTTTATAAAGCAAATTTGTCTTTATGTCTAGTTTCAGAATCAAAAGCATGTGCAAAAAAAAAAAAAAGAAAGGGTTTTTCAAGGTTTTGCACCTTCAAACTGCTTTTTACATCTGACCAAGACTTCGGTCACTTTGGTGAAATACTTCAACTGGAGCTAGTCCAGTCTGACTGCAGCTGGAGGCAGGATAAAATAAAAGGTTAAGCTCAGTCAGTAGTGGAGGGAAAAAAATACAGAATTTTTGTTTTTGCAAAAAACATTGTTTTTATTGTGGCTCTTTGTGCACGGCTACAAAACAAAGTATTTGATGTTCAGTTTCCTTTGGGTAAATATTGTTTTACAAACAGTGAGATGCCTTCTTCAGTACTGTCCCTTCACCTTGCTACACTTCCACTGGCACTTTCTGGACTACTTATGTCACCCAAAGTTAAAATATAAATCAATGACACACATCAACTGTTCTGTTTAGCAACAGTTTCATTTTCTATTTGCTTATTATTGATAGTGAAAAGTGAAGTAAAGACATGAGGCAGTGTTTTGCTGGAGGTCAGGCTGGATTTCCATGCAAAAAAGAAAATTTTTATTAATATAGGTCACAGAGGAATATTTATGAAATTGAGTGTTTACATTCTGGGATTAATGTTTTAAGCACTTTTTTTTCTTTTGCAGTATTTATCTATTTTTAGGACCTAACGCAATCTTTGATTTCTCTCACGGTTTTTTATTTTAACGATACATTTTGTTCATCTTTTGCATACGCTGATCTGTTTTGTCACTCCTCTGATTCAAGACCTGAGAAGGTTAAAGTTTTATAAGGTAAACTCTCTTCCAGAAGTCCAGACAGTCTGACTTGCACCCGAATGACCGAATTACATGTTTAATATGCTCTTCATCCGGTTGCTTTTGAAGTTGCTTTCAGCTGCATCAAGCACCCAAACCTCGTCCTTCACACCGGTTTGCGGGAATACAAGAAACCTTTAAACCCATTTTCACAGAGCTTTCCATGTATTTCTGGGTGTCTTTCAAGGGTGGTTTCAAAACGCCCAGCAGCCCTGAGGTTCTTTCCCAAATATAAGCGTATAAGTTCGCTTTCTCAAAATCAGTCATGAAAGATAATTGAATTTCATTCTCATCCAACTGCGGCAGATATCCGGTTTGGTTCATTTACTTATTTATTTTTGTTTCCTTTTCCAGGACTCGCTATTATCAATTTAATTGCCACAGCAAAGACCTCTTTTTTTGTTTTTTCTCTCTTTTGTGTATCTTTCCATCAAAGCTGCTGGCTTCCCACCAAAAGTTACAAAGCAAATAAATGTTGCCAAAGAGAGTTCAATATTTAACTCAATTCCAGCCACATGAGAAACATCCAGTTCACTAGATCTGCACAATTAAAATCCCATAAATCCATCAAAACGCAGAAATCTAGTAAACATATACTGATATAAAATCTGGAAAAAGCAAAGTGCATCAGTTGATTGTCTCGCTTGTGGAGTTACTTTAACAGAGCAACGTTTTGTATATTTTTACTGGTATTTTTGCTTTTTTTTTTTCAAGTTTTTGTTGCTGGACGGCCTTCTTGCCGTCGTCCTGATCTTCAGTGTCCTCCACAGATTCCCGTCATAACTCTGTCTGGCTGACAGACAGAGTGATTCATGTTCATGTGGTTTTCATGCTACTTTCAGTCAGGGGAAGTTTTCATTATTTAAGGGATTGCTCATTTGCACATACATTATTTCACATCACAGCCACATTAATTTGCATTCATTAAAAAGAAACCTAGACTGGGCAGGAAATTCGCTCAGCATTTACTTTACTCACCTAAACATAATGCTGGTGTCCTTTTGAAAATTGAGCTAATTCTGTGTTTTGGACTAAGCCTCATGTGTTTCGAGATCCTGAAAATTCCCCTGACCAGCTCGGTTTTTCTACCGGTAACCTGCTCAATAACAATGCAGCCTCTATTCTTGGTGACCTCTGACATTTTTTGAGCATGTGTCCTTCTGTCATCTACACAGGAGCGGTTTGTCTTCGCGACCGTCTGGCATCTCGCATCTGTCAGACTCTGCGCTCGCTCAGTCGCTGCCACCAGCCAAACATGCAGGCACGCTGCTGCAAGACGTGCAGTCAGGACTCCGGCAGGCCTCTCCACTAAGGTCCCGCTCTCCTCGCGTTGCTTCAACCACAGGGTTACGAACCACGGGCCTTTACAGGGAGCCAACCATCGGGACCTCTGTCACTGACGGGACGACAGAGTTCACTTGGAGCTGGTGTGAAGGACACAAACCAAGAGCTTAAATATTTGTTTGCACTTTGTGCGTCCCGCATTTTGACGACGTCTGCTTTAGCAGGTTGGAGTGTTTCACAGAAGATGAGATTCTTTCGTTCTACTCAAGTTAAAATGCATTAACACATTTAGATAAACCACTAATCTTTTCTGTTGTAGTGCTTGTTTTTATTTTGATGACCACAGCAGAGTCTTAAAACATGCAGCTTAGTGGCTTTTAATATGTGGTACATGTGGTGGGGAGCAAAACATATGGTGCATAACTGGTCATTTGTCATTTCATCAAGTCCTATGCTTTTAGCCCACTGCATTTCTGTTAAGCAGTAATCTTTTCAAATATGGATCTCAAACTGCAGCTGCTCTAAGGTTTTTTAAAAAAGGGAGCCTTTCAACAGTACATGTCGGGTCAAAAATGTGATCTTTCCAAAGATTGCTCTGTATTGTTAAAAATGTTTTCAAATGTTTGCTGCGTGACTTAAAGTGCGGACACAAAGTACCTGAGTGAATCTGTACTTTTACCTGTATGAAGCATGTCCTACCAGCTAAAGCTTAAGTGTAAAGCCTGGTTCACGCGACAAGGGATGGTGATATAGTGTGTGGTGTTCAGCCACATGACAAAGACAACAAAGAAATTTTACTCATGTACTCTCTCAAAACCTCTCGAGATCAAACTTGAGTTCAGAGTAAACAAACATGGCCGACAAGGAAGAATCAACAGCGTTTTGTGGACATGTTCACAAAAACATGGCCGACGTCCATGGCACTTTCTTCTGGTTTTCTGTATTTTGAATGATCCTCCATTTTGGATTGCCAGTTCCTGGATGTGTATACTATAACTCACTTTATTTCTGTTATTGATGGTGAACTTTTCTGCTGCAATTACCTGAAGAGATGGAGGATTAACAAGGCAGTAATAAATCAGAGGATTATCTGCAGAGTCATTATAATATTTGGAATATCCTTAAGCTTGCCAGGAGGGAGAAGTCGGATCAAAAATTGGCGTAATTATCTCGACATGTGAACCCCTGAATTCACAATGCATTCATGTGTCAGACTGAAGTTTTTAATTAGATCAGCAAATTCTTTCTAGACATGAATTGAGTTAGAGCCAGAGTTCAACACTTTCACCTCCAGAACCTTTTGCAGGGATTTTTTTTCTGCCTTCTAAGGCTGCGTTTGAGAAAGTCTACAAACTTTTTCAGGTTAGCAGAGACTAATTCAGTTTTACACTTAAACACTGCGAAATGGTCACAAGGTATACATCCAGACAACCAGGTTTTAATTCCTTTGTAGCAATAGAACAAAACCTACCAAGATGCCTTTATTGAAAGTTGTAACTGGAGCCAATTTTAAAGTTTGAAGTAACTTTACATGAGCTACATAGCATAGCTGTTGTGTGAGGATTATTGGTCATAGGTTTTATTGCCTAAAATCATGGTTTTTACTGTCACAACGGACGTTTCTCAATTGTTGAGCAAGACTTTGCTGGAAACGCTCGCGGTGTGAGTCGGTGCTTCTTATCTTCAGCAGATCCGGTTTGGAAAAATCACCAGATGTTTATAGTCTGGATTACAAAAAATGCTTATAGTCATCATGTGTCGATCAACCAGCTGGTATCCACTACTGAAGAGTTTCTTTAGTTTTTTTTTTTTTTTACCACCATTAAAAACACTTATTTCCATGTTTGCATACATTTTTCGCTCTCAGTAAAACGGCTGTAACTGATTTATCCTTACGTGACTCTTGGCGCACATCTCTGCCTTTGAATGACCCGGCGTCACCAGAACACAACAGAACCTCCAAACAGCTTCATGTGGAAATCTGACGCCTTTGGAAAGCTTCATTAGAAGCTAAGCAGTTTGCCCTGACACTTTGAGTTTCATGTGGCTTGTCAATTAACAGAACCACCACCAAAGCGTCGGCGAGCACCATTAAAAATATAATTTCCAGACTGCATTCAAAGGACAAATGTGTCCGTTGGGGCTGATGAATGAAGCTACAATGGAAGTATTTCAGACCTTTATTCTGCGCCTGTTAGCTAAAGTCATAATGAACAGAAGCTGAAAGTGACCTTCGTCTTCGTTCATTTAGTATCTCAGGAGCATCAACTAAAAGGTTCAGCTGGATCACTATTTGTATGATTTTTTTTTTTTTTTTAAATCTACTCATTATCAGAGTTTCCTTAAGAATAAATTCTCCTTTTGATCTAAATGAGTTTTTATCACCTGTAGTCAGCTGGCAGATACGACGTTAAAGGATCAATTCAGGCAAATTTCAAGTCGGATCGACTCTCTGACAGACACACTGGTCTATTGGATTTGTATTGGCATTCAGTGTTTGAAGCTTTTCAAAAAGCAAATATAAACATTATATTTGCTTTTTGAAAACACACTTCCATCCTGAAGAGCTTTTCATTTGGTCACCATTTAGATTTGTTTTCTTAAGGTTGATCTCAGCAGGAAAGTGAAACCAGCTCCAAAAACTCGTTTTTATTACGTTTTTAATCAGAGATTTATTTCAGAAGTACCAGCAGCACGTAGATGCAATGCGGTTATAAAACCTAGAAAAATCTGTAGCGATCAGACCTCAACTGCATGGCAGCAGAATATTTAGTTTGTGCCGTCAGTCTGCCCAGCAATCTGCATAAATTAGAACAGAACAATAATGGCACGAAGCAGGAACATAAGAGGTTATATTAGCAGTAAAGATGATCTTAGCTCATTGTTTCCAATCTTTTTTTAGTTTGGTTTGGTTTTATGATCTCAGGCCACATTGTGAAACTTGGTCTGCACATCACTTAAAGCTGCACGGTTGCAGTTCATAGCTGCATTCAGGACTGTTTTGCAGCACTAGTGTTATAAAGACTATTTGTAATGCATAACAGTCAACATATTTAAGAGCTGTCACAAACATTTGAATTCTGAAGAAAATGTATACTATTTTGATTATATGAACATTCGTTTGCATTAGTAAGACGTGATTTGTGTGAATAAACCCTCTGCCTGTGCTATGATCTACAGAAACTCAGGACGCCACAAAGGAAGAGTAGCTTGTCTTGAAACGATGCTCAGAATGATGAACTGATTTAGCTTTAAGGTTCCTGCTTTCCAACAGCAGCCTATAGGAAAAAGCTGTTTTGCTTCCAGCTCTAGTCCAAAGCTTCCAGCGTTGGTGCAGATGACCTCTAAAGAAGCCAGAGAAATATTGGAGCCGGCATTCAGAGGTAATCAGGAAGTTTGCACTCAAAGGAGCATCTGCTCTGGTTTCATCTCTGAAGCTCGGAGGTTTTGTCCAGTTTTTATTCGCAGTCTTTGAAGCAGAAACTAATGCCAATGTTCAAAAGCCCCGATTTTTTTTTTTTTTTTTCCATCATGCTCTGGTTTTTCTCAGAGCCCTTTTCATGCTGTGTGTTCCTGACACTGCTGTCTCTGTTATGTTTTTTTCTCAGTTTGGTTGAACAGCAGTCGGTTATAAAGATGTAGCAGGGCCGTCACAGACTAGGGGTGGGCTTTATCATCGCTTCAGCTTGTTAAATGTCTGCAGCAGCTTGTAAAAAAGGCTACATAAAATAGTCTAAGAGGTTACAGTTGTTCCCCTTTGGCTTTTCCACCAGGGTTGTTTTTTTTTCCTTTCTAAACTGTCAGAGTAAATGTTTAAGAAAGTAGAAGCTACAGGTATATTTGGTGCTAGGAGCTGCACAGGCTCCACTTGTTCTGTTGCCAGTTTCAGGTATTGGCGGGCCCAGTGCCATTTCAACTTGAGTAGTGAATCATTTGGTGTTTTTAATCCTGGTTAAGCTTTTAGTTTGAAGTAAATGTAGTGTTAGAGTGCTGCTTGTTTTAAATGATTGTCAAACGTCTCAAAAAGAAAAAGAATAGACGCTACTTTTTATTATGTTATGTAACAACAGCTAATGGGTAAACACGTGTACTACTCCATATATGTACAAGCTCTGGTTTCTGTTTTAAAAATGTTTGTTTGATCCCGTCGACGCTGCAGCGGTACCATCAAATGTTTCTGCACTTCTTCGTATTTCACGTGCAAAGTTTAAACAGTCAAACAAGATGGACTCGCTTCGATGCAGCCGGTCATCTCTGGACGTCCGCCTTCACGTGACTCGATGTAAAGTGTGACTGACAGTTTCTCTACACAGATGAACATTTTCTCTGAAAAGAAAACCGTTCTCAATAAAAGCAGTGCTCCTTTTTCATGTTCAACAGGCCTTGTAAAATAAACAAAAGAAACGTCTCCTTTTATAAAACCGTCCTGTGTGTTGCAGTTTTTTTTCTATTTCTTTTCTGGCGCTTCAGGTGAAGCGGAGAATTTGTATGGAGAATACAAATTATGGAAAAAAATGGGATTTTAGTCTCTATGTGCTCCTATCAGTCGAGTGCACTCAAGAAAATACGATCAAACTCCTGGAGTGTATTTACACCCTGTATAAGAGTTAAATACATATTTTAAATGCTTTTTTTTAAGCAAAGAAAAGAAATGCAAACGTTTTATCTTCAAGAGAGGATCTCCTCTTTGCCCAAGGACACCCGCCTCCCCTTTTCTCACTGGCAGAGAGAAAGTCTGAAACTTCAGAAGAGTCGGGTTCAGAAAGATGCAGACGTTTCTGTTAGTGCATCCAGTACCTATGCCAAAGGAATAAACCTTTATCCAGGTATTTTTTTTCCCAAATAATTCACAAGGTGGAATTACAAGTTTACATTATCTCCCGAAAATGCCCTGGACAAGCCGACAAAAGAAAAGCATGGGGTGACCCTCAGTTGGTAAAAACCTTTTCCTGTTCCATCCTTGATGCTGCGACTCACTTTGTTTAATGTTTTGAAGAGTTCCTTTGTTTTCTTTACCAAATCTGTCTTAAGTTACCGAATGAGTCCTTTTAAACTTCAGACAGCAGTGAAATGTTTAAGAAAAATTTGTCCTTTAATCAGTTTAGGTTTAGTTTGAACATTGATTTCAAATTCAGTAGCGCCAAATCAGTGTCAGTCTGTTGTTTAAATCATGTTTAAGTTGCATTTCACTTTATCAACTCATTATGAAACGCACCTGAGATCATCCATCCTCCTGTTTATTGTCTCCTTCTTATCTGACTGCTGGTGTTTGCTGTTTGTTTGGGGGTGAAATATATGTATGTCTTAACAGCTGGTTTATTAATTAGTTCATCCTCTGCATGCAATTCACAAAGCCGAGTTGCAAATAGTAAAATATCCCTCTGGGCTTTATTTGTTCCCCCCATTTTGGGTCTTAATATTATTAATACAGTTGCTGTATTAACTTGGACATTGTATTAACTTCTTTCTGTGACACCTGTTCCACCCCATCGTCTTCAACCAATTAATATTAAGTACAATTGATTATGTGCAAGTAATTTGATTGATGGAATAAGCTTTAACAAGAATCCATTTGGTTCCCTTTGCTTCATTAATTGATGTATGAAAATATTTTTTGCATGGTGGAAAATGAATTCTTCAGGCATAATTTCAGACACATTTTGAAAACTTGATTATTTATGAGTAGCAACACACCTCAGCATCGATCCACACTTCACTTTGCTGTCTGCTGTCTTGCAAAAGGGCTCATTTTCAATGTTTTTCAAACTGTGCAAAAAAAGCTGATTTGAAAAGAAATGGTCATGAAGCTTAGTTTGTATTTATAAAAGTGTTCACAACATGGGAAAAACTGACACCAAAGCCAAAACAATCACCTAATTAATAGGTGCTGGGTGATTCTCTCCTAAAGATTGTGTTTATACTAAGGTAAAAGTGTTTTTAAAATTAATAACCCCCTAAAGCGATGTAATAATCTTATATTATAAAGCCTCTTTAAGCGGCTCTAAGTCAAGCTGGTGTTTGCAGTTTATCTTGTGTCACAGAGGGAATGCCACAGGGGACAGGCGACGGTTCTGCTGATGCTGTAAAATAGTTTTATGTTCATTATATTTGTTTTCTCTGCAGTTTGTGAGATATTAAAGGATGATTACAGAGGCTGTTAAATTGCTTTTATCACCTACTAAAAACTGCAGAGTTTCAATGTGGAAGTAATATATATAAAAACCTGATTTATATAGATAATGGTTTGTCATTTCCCATAATGGGTAACTTCAAAGTGCTCTCTCAACATTTCTGTGCAACTTTCTAATGGTATTTGAAAGTAATTATTGTTGTGACTAGTGTCACAACAATAATCAGAAGAATTCAAAGAACCACCTTTATCTCTCAATAAAGGGGAAAACTGAGAGTTGTGAACTTCAGCTGCTGTGAACTTCCAACAAACAATCCAGAAGCTAAAGCTTTTGAAGTTACAGGAGAACAAGTGGACAACGTAAGGTCATTTTACTTATATAGCACATTTTAAAAATGTGGTGAGCACTACATTTTGATCTACTTGGACCAAGAGTAAAAAAAAATGGACTGCTCACCACCAGAAGAAAAACACTAAGAGGAAAGTGCATAGGTGGGAATATCAAGTGCGTTTTTGACTTCAGGTAAAAAAAAAAGAAGAGTGGAAACATTGACTAGGAAATTCTCGACAAGAGTCTGCTGCCAAATGCTAAAATCTGAAAATGAAAGCTTTCTTTTTTTCTTCTTCTTCTTCAGCCATTCAGTGATGCTGAACCCACAGCTAAGGACAAAAGAACTGCTTGAATGGAACTGAAAATCAGCAAAAATAAAAGAGCTGAAGATCGGAGTACAAAGAAGACGATCAAGGACAGATGTTTCAAAATAATGGCTGAGCAACGTATGCGTATATTTTGTCCACATAGGAGAGAGCTACGTCTAAGCTGCCATGATGAGCAAAAGCTCTTCAGTTAAGTGTTTAAAAATAATTATTTTTTTCATTTGTATTTCTTTCACATAGAAATCTATGTATTAAGAAAGACATTAAAACCACCAAAAGTTCATTCATATGTGAATACTGGCATGCAACAAGAAGATCAGCATGTACAAGAATAGTTTGACTGATGTAACTCCAAATATCAAACTCTGGTTTTGATCGATTTTAAAATAAAAGTAGACCATTTTTATTTCCAAATCTGTACAGTTTTATAATCCCTTGTCTGTCTTTTTTCTGATCTGAAACAAATCTTTTGATGAGCGAATAAACAAATGAGCACATTCTGAGAACTTGTCTTTAAGTATTAATATTGTTTTATTACATTTTTTTTTTTATACAGACTGGGCTTAGGTAAATAAATACAAGTTCTGAACACAAATGCGTCGAATGAATTAAGGAAAACTGTGTTCTTTTCAAATTACAAATTTAAGGGTACAATTACAAATGTCTGATCCCAAAGTTTTAAATTACAGATTCATAAACAAAATTTAAGCATATTAATTTAGATTAGCATGATAATATCATGATGTATACTACTGCATGCAGTGCTAATTCATGAAGAAAATACTCAAGTGTTAAGGTGAATAATATCTTTTGATTTGATCAAGGGCCTCCGACTGAAGCACTAAATAGTTAGGATTTCTACAATTTGCAAAACTCAAGTTTATTGTGTCTCCAGTTCAATTTAAACCACTTTCCCTTTGTTTTTATTAAAAATTTTTTTACCTGAACTCATCAATAATCGACTGGTGGCAGTGTCACCATTTGAGTAAACGCTTCATAGTTAATGATGCCGTTTGACTTGACATTTGCTTCTTTGAAGAGGTCATTCACTGCAGGAAGAAAAGAGAAGAGAAATAACAGATTCAAATATGATTTTAGACCAGGGAGGCTTTTAAAGCCACATATTCAAAAGAATGAAATGTTGTCCAAGCTCGGGAACGTATTTCAGTCATTTAAGGCCTTTAGGCGTTTTCTTGTTTTATTTTTTTTGGTTCATTATGTTGCCAGCAAAGGTGAAGAAGTCTGAATCCATGTAAAAACAGAGAACAAAAATAGGAATGTCTTTTCTGCTCGTATCAACCTCCAGTATCATAAAATAATAGCTTTTATAAAAAGCTATTATAATAGAGTCGCAGCAATTCTCATGAAGCTTTTTTTTTTTTTTACAAAAATGAACCCATCACTTTTTACATGCTCTGTGCACAAAAGTGGGTTTGTATTTTGAATAAAGCAGCAATATTATTAGATTTACTGTTGTGTGCCAAACATAAATCTGACTTGTAACTTACTGTGTCCTGTCCCTTAGAAACTGAGATTGTACTAAAATAAATTGTAAATTTTTTAGGTAATTTGTGCAAAGTGTTTAATCTGAATATTGCACAAGATTAATGAATGTTATTCTTGCACGTTTAATGTTCCAGGAGATAATCTGTAACCAGGATGATCAAACAAGACCAAGGAGTGATTAAGCACGTCCTGCACACACATATGCAAAAAAATGAAAATAAATGACACACAAGTCTTTCTAATCTGGCTTTTTATAAAGCCTTGCAACCTCTGCAAATATGCCCAGAATCCTTAAACAGCTGCATCATAGAAGTACAGGAACCCAGTTCAGTCTCTGCTGTTTCCCTTTCTTTTTTTCATCAAAATCCAAAGCACTGTTGTCTGCTCTTTTAGTGGAGGGGCATTAATATTCAGCAGTTCTGAGATCCACTAACTTGATGGTTGTTTTCCCACTGAGACTGAGTCAGGCTTTTTAACTATGAGCTGCTTAATGTGCATGGCACCCTCCCAGTGGCACCCACCCAGTGACACCCACCCACTGACAGTGCTTAGAGTTACACGAAGCCAGCAACTGTTTGAATAAGAGGGCTTTGAAAGGCTCCAAACACCTCTGGAGATTTACCCAGACATTAGCATCCCCTCTGTGTGTCGTCCCATCAAACCTCGCAGCTTGGGATTCATAGTTGTTTCCATCACAAGAGATATTCTACTGTGTCTGTAAAAAATGTAAGGAAATATTTAAATAACGGCTTGGCAGATTTGAGAATGCAGTACTGCCTTTTATTTTAAGTACAAAAATAATGTTGCTTAGTGTATGAATAGTGGAATAGTTTTTTTTTTTAAGGCACTTTTATGAAAACATATTGAACTGGTTTCTTTTAATTACTACTAAAAGCAAAGTAACAAAAAAAAAAGAACCTTTTTGCTTTAAACCAGCTGGATTTGTGGTAATGAAAGCTGACAAAGTGGCACCCTGCAAATGTGTTTGTTTGTCCTTTTAATGTGATCTTGAGAGCTGCTTAAAGGACGGGTTTGGCTGGGTTTGGCTGGGCTTTCCTGAGCGTAACTTTTTTATGTTGTGTGAAAGTTGCTCAACTTTATCTTGTCTAATAGTCAGCAAAGGAAGATAAAGGCACGTTTTACAAGATCTCAAAAATATTAAAATTAGGTGAATCCGATTCTGAATTTATTTAGTAGAACTTTCAATTTTCCTCAACGCACCAATAAGGAAAAAAATATTTGGATCAGAGCCTGCAGATGTTTAAAGGGAGAAAATAAGAAGGAATTGAGGAAGGCTCCTAATAAAATGGCGCATCCATCAGGAAACACCAAGACGGCATGGTGAGCGCAAACTCTCAAATCGAATTGCCATTAAAAAAATCATTTGTTGACAAAAAAAATCCTTTTTTTAGACACTGATGTTGTTTGGGCAGATGGGGAAGGAACATTTCCAAACTTGAATTGAGGCGAACAGCTTGTGAGTCGTCTGGGAGTCACAGAGCTGAACTCAAAAGCCAAACTGATTCTCATTGCTTTCTTTATGTCATTACCAAACATGAGGAAGATACAATAAATGTGTCCAGAAATTTGGTGAATTGTCAGTTTGAATAAGAGAAGGAGTCTGGACAAAAGTTAGTACTTTCACTACTAATATTATTTTTGTTTTGTCTAAAGTAATGTAAGAAAATGGAAGGGCATACACCATTTATCAGTCCTTTGAGTTAACCCATCTCTGGGAGGATAGAACAGTTTTACAGATATCTCTACTTTTCACTCAGATGAATAAAATGTTCAAAAATACCAACCACTGAAAACAATATTGTTAAATTTACCTGCCCTTTACCTTAAATGTAGTCCGTTTTAGTAGAACACACTGCTACTACAGCGACGTGTGAAATCAGCATGTTATTGTTGCTAAGAAAAGGATTTTGGCCAAATTAACTCAACATGAGCCAGTTTTCCAGAACAATTTACCTTCTTTGTCTGTGAGTTTCTCTCCTAAGGTGGTCAGCTTGGCCCGTAGCTCAGCTGCCTGGATCTGTCCTGTCTTCTGCTTGTCCGTCATCCTAAAGGCCTCCAGGATTTCATTCTTCGGGTCTTCCTGCTGCATCTGCCTGTGCATCATGATCAGGAAGGTAGAGAAGTCTACCTCGCCTTTCTTTCCTAAACAGACATTATATTCATTAAACATGAGCGTTACAAAGTGATGTGCATGTGTGTTTGTACTTTTTTTTTATTTCAGCGTATTTTTAAACCACTGGTAGCTCCAAGGAGCCAAACGTTCTTGTATCCGTTTCATGTGGTTTTGATCGATACCTCTCCAAGATTTGTACAGGACTTTTTATATGGATCAAAAGAACGAGAAAAGTGAACCAAGACTCCACCTTAAAAGCACCTTCTGAAACAGAAGCACATTACCTGAAAGCTATGTAGTTAAGGACTAAAAACAAAATACAAAAAATGGCTGAGAAATGTCAAGTTTCCAGCCAGTCTCTCAGTGTTGGTTATAAAAGCCTGTTTTCTGATTGATACATTTGGGCATCTGTTATTTTTCAGATTCAGATTCAGGATCTGTGAGACCGGCTGCTGGGAGCAAAGTGTCTTAAGGTCAAATTTCAGTACCTCATTAAAATAGTCTGGTTCAGGACTCAAAATTACATGGAAAAAAAACAACTAACGAGTACCTGGAGAACAGACAGCGATGACGTTTGTATATTCTGAGAAAATGTGAGTAATAGGAAGCAAAATGTGACCAACAATGATCGAATCACGTTTAAGAGAAGGTTGGTTTTCCATGTCCAACCAAATCAACTGTTGTGAGGGGAGCACCTAAAGGGTTAACTGTGAAACATTACATTCTGATCCTTATCCTCAGTGTACGTACCGATTTTCTGGACTTGAAGATGCCTTTCTATTTCGCCATGCGTGGGGCTTGTTCCCAGGCAGCGCATCACTGTGATCAGATCTTTTGACTCGATTTTACCCTTCTGTTTTTTGTCGTACAAGGAGAAGCATTCTTTGAACTCTGCAAGGAGAAAACGGTAGAAATGACACTATGTGTTCCTAAATGAAGCAAAGACGCTGGTTTAGACTGGTTCAAGTAAAGATGTTTAGCAAAAGGTGGAATTTGATCCTGAAGTATCAAGAAACGTTTAAATGATTGTATAAGTGCTAAGTAAAACAAAGCACAAACATCTCTTACCGCTGATTTGAGCTGGTGTAAAGAATTTAGCCTGGAGAACAACAGCTTTGTGTTAGTTGTCATATAAACAAGACGGAGTCATATTAAAATATAAAGAAGGCTTTAGGGAAATACTTTCTTTCTCTTACCATTTCTAAAGCTGTTGCGCTTCCTTCCTGGAAAAAAGAGTGTGCTCTGTTACTAACGTCACCTGTGCCTCCACCTGTCTAAAGTCCAGCTGCAATTTAATATGTGTTGCTGTGGAAACAGCGATACCAGATCCAACATGCCGCACTGGCCTTTTCCTTACCACTCCCACATAAAGAAGAAGTCAGCAATAGCACAGAATCACCACATACTTCAACGTGAAAGGATGACTATGTGGGAAAACAAAGGCTTACATGCTTAAGGCCTGTTCAAATCAAGGTAAATGACTCATGTATAACCCTGGATGAAAAGCTGAAAGGTTGTTTGTCTCCAACTATTATCCCAGCGGTTTGTGCACCCTGCTGCTTGCTATAGGCTCTAAACCCCTGCAGCCGTACAGCAGGTGGAATGGAGAGAAACTAGGCCAACAGAGTGGGATTAGTGACAGAAAGCATGGATGAAAAACACTTAAAACATGCCAAAATTGCGAAATGAAAGGGAAAGAGGGCTTTGTTTAAAGCCTCCCACCCCCCAAAAAAACAGATGCCTCTTTTTCTTCTGTTGTTTCGCTATGAAATTAGCTTGCTGCAAAAAAAAAAAAAAAAAAAAATCTCACCAACTATTTTTGTTTTACATTTTTGGGCAAATATCTTAGTATTTCTGAAATAAGACAAAAACAACTTCTAAGTATCTTTTCAGAAAGACAGAAGCTTTTTTAAAGTCACTAAGTATTTAATATTGATGGCAAAAGTAGTTTTTCACACATTTTATGTGAAAATATCTGCCAATGGAATAAGTACTTTTTCCATCAATATTAAGGACTTATTGACTTTTTAAAATACTTTTATATCTTGCTGAAAAGTTACTTTCAAGTTAGGTTAATCTTATTTCAAGAACACTCAGATATTTGCACTAAACAATAGACTGAAAATATTAGATTGTGTGTTTTTGCAGTGAGGAAAAAGTTACATGGACAGTCTGGTTTACATAAATACCAAAAAGTAATATTCAAACAAAATTATCAGAAGTAGCCCTATTTAACTGATCATTTTTTCAATATGTCAAGGGATTCTGAGTTTCCGTCAATTTAGGGACCAGTTTGTCAGGAGAACAAATGTTTTCCTCCAAGTCGTGTAAAGTTGTCAGACATCCTAATCTTCTGACTTACTGGCTTTTAAAAATGCTTCTATATCTTGCTGAAAAGTTACTTTCGAGTTAGTTCTGACTTATTTCAAAGATACTAAGAGATGTTGTACTGCAGAATGCAATATCTCTGAGAAACATCCAGATGTTGAATGTTACCAAATCCCTTCCGCCAACATCTGGTGCGTCAAGTGAAAAGTGGAGGATATGTGAGCGCCACATTAATATACACGGCTTTCCAGTCAAACGCCAAGCTCAGCGACTTCCCTCTGTGTCAACGCGTAGTAAATGTTTGACCTAAAACAGATGGTGTGGAGGAAAAAAATGTGCCCCGTTCTCTTTGATATTTAATATTTTCATGTTTTGCAGCAAGAACGGTACAAAGTAAGCATATTATTTTCCTTAACTGTGTCAGGAATCACTTTTGTTTCCCATTTGAAAGCCACAGAAAAGCAGCCTCCTCTGAGATGTTTCCTCTGAGATGCTGAAAGATTCATACCAACGGGTTTAGTCAGAGAATAATAGGATCCTTTGAGGTGAGACTTTGTTTGTGTCACACTCTAGTTAATGCGGCTGTTTTTCAACATGTGCAAGATTTAGCAGCTGAATACATTTACTTAAAAATATGAGTTGATGTTTTGTTCTCATGGTGGTACGCATCATCGAAAAATGTCAGTAACACATTAAACATACAGTAGGCTTCAGGTCCGGATGAGACCAACTGTGATAATGAGCAACACAGATTAATGAGGAACAGGAACAGCCTTCTTTTTCTATAGAGGGTAAATACTCTTTAACTTTAATAGAGCAAAGCACAACAGTCCTCAAAAAAGCATTTAAAAAATACAAAAATCTTCACAAAAAAATAAAAAACTTAACATTTTCTCCACACAAGTGTTTGTTTTTCATAACCTAAAAATACCATGAGAAAGCCGGTGCACAGCAGGTTTTGGGGATTACCTGAATACTGGTAGGTTTTACCTGTGCTTCAGAAATAATCGGTCGCATCATAAAACACCGGTTGCTCCTATGTTTAAAATTTGAACGTTCGGTTCACTCGCTCTCCTTTATGTATAAGGTGTAGTAGGACCAGGGCTCTGGAACATAAAACAGTCCGGGGTACTTGGTGCGTAGCACCGGGTCGTCCCACAGATAGGCCACCCACAGGGACACGAGCAGCAGAGTGATGCTGAAGCTATAAAAAAGAAAGGAGCCGTTGCTATCTGGGGCGACGCCTTTACACTGCTGGACAATCCTCACTATGAACATGGCGAGGAATGTAAGGAGGAACAGTCCAGTTATCTGAGCCTCGGTGACCAAGTACCTTTGGGATGAAAAAGAGACAAACAGCAGGAGTTATTTTTGTTTGAGCCTTTCAAATGGCTGCATTTAATGAGTTAAATCTCATTTGTTTTTCCATAGGCTATGCAGCAGCTAATAATTACAGGTACAATTATTTAACCAAGACAGATTTGGTGAGCATGCACTCAAGAAAAAGGGAGTTTAAATTGGATCCACTGTAAGGCAAAAGAATTGGACATTAAACAAAAAAAAAGTAAAATGATTTTACCCCAATTAAAACTTAAAAAATGTTTTCCCTAGCTGAGGAAAAATGTTGGGGTATCATTTTTTTAACAACCGAGAGTCGCTGATGAGTATGAAGGAGTATTAGGACCAAACTAAGAAAAGAAAAAATTACCAGAATAAAGTTTAAATGAAAAATAAGAAAATAAAAATTTGTATTAAGCAAATAATACAAGAATAAAGTTGTACGACAATAAAGTCATTATATTACTGTATTCTCATAATATGACTTTATTTTCATATCATTACAACTTTATTGTTGTATTATTTACTTAATCTCATTTCTATTTTCTTATTTTTCATTTGTTAGACCAGGAGCAAAGTGCAAAGTTAAAATCATCTCTTCCATCACACATAATGGACAAGCATTGAATCCCCTACTCCAGCGGCTCGCTCCCTGGCTTTCATTCATCATTCTATGACGAATCTTTCTTTGCATAAAAAGGAGAATTACTGTGCAAAGCACAATTTATGATAAGGTTAGTGCTATTCCAGTAGTCCTGGCCTTCATATCACTCCTCCCTGGAAGACGTTAGTATCGCCTGCGTGTTTTCCCATCGACAGCAAAGGTCTCATCTCCCACAAAAGCTAAACCTCTACAGTGTTTTTTTAGTGTTCTTGCAATCTACTTTGAGGTTGCAGGTTTTGCTTTGACAGCAAGACCTGGGCATGTTGGCTGTTGCTACTTTTTAATTAATATAGTTTGAAAGTTTCTTGATAAAAAGTTGTTGTTCCTGATAGTGCTCCAACAGGATAAGAAATCTTTTCACTCTCATCAGCAAAGTGCACCAGCTACATCGTCCTATCTAAGCTGCAGAGCCCCACCATCGTTTAGTCAGCGTTTGGTGTCCACAAACGCACCATTTGTTTATCCTGCAAAGTCACATTCACCGAGTGCAGTTTGGCAGCAGCATCTCCGGGTGTCGTCATTATGTGGCCCAGATGTGAGCCACTGTGACAGAAACTGTAAACATGTTTGTCAAGGCCACTTTGGCAGATGTATGTTTCTCTGTTCATGCAGTCATGACTCTTGGCAAGAGATGAAGTACGTTATAGAGAGCGAGGAGCACCAGATGTAAAAGCCGAGGGGCTGTTAGCCCATTTCTGCTTTACAAGACTGTCCCAAATTATTCAGAAAACATCAAATGGTAAAGCGATTTGATGTGTTACGCACATATACATGTGCGTAAATATTCACATGCATATGTGTGCTTGTTTGCTGCCGTAATTCTTTGATACTCTGTGTTGGTGTTTGCACTGTTTACGTCACTGCAGTAGGCGGCCTTAAAAAATGTAGAAACAGTCGAGCTATTTCTAATTTCATTAGTGCTGTTTATTATTTGGATTCATCTCACAACAGAGGAAAAACAAAACAGATGTCATTAGTGGACTCTGTCATAAAGAGAAATCATGAGATGCCGGTATTGTTGGTGCTTTTTATGCAACATTTTGAATGTCCTGCTAGAACCTTTGCCCTTTTGTGATGTAACCGTCTTCTTTTTGTGATGTAACCGTCTTCTTTTTGCTTCAAGCTGTTTTCAGCTCATCAGCATCAAGCACACACAAGGCATCATTTCCAACAACTCCACACATTTTTTTTTTTTTGAAAACTGCCTGCAAGCTTGGCTGCAGAAAATTATTCAACCTGCATAAGTCAAAGAAATGCAAAGAGTTGCAAACAGAATTGCGTCTGTCTCCATAAACATTTCCCGTTTGTGCGTTTTCCTGGGGAAGTATCCTCTTTCAAGTATGTTGGAAGTGTGTCTAAGTGCGGTCTTTCTTGCAGATTCTTTAACGAGAGAAACTTAATTTCATTAGAAGGCTAACTGAGGTACCAGCTCATTCCATTAAGAGAATATTGAAAAAGTAAATATCTTGATTCTTCCACAGAGTAACACATTTCAAGCGTTTTTTAAAGAATATGGCCGAAACATAAATAAAAATGCAAAATTTAGTCCCTCTAAAAATGAAAATATTACACAACCTCAATCTTATGCTAAGGTTATGCTATTGCCCATCCGGAGGAGAGCAAGCCTAAAAATACTGTCCAGACATGTTAATTGAAAGTTGTGTGGAAGGAAAAAAAAAAGCGAGAATATGTCCCCAAGCAAAGCACATTCAGACGTTTTGGGAAGATTCAAAAGTTGCATACTGCAGCTTTAGGAGCCACAAGAGAGAAATGTATCTAAGTAATGGGCTGCTAGTGTCATATTTCTTGTGTTATGACACCCCTGGACCAGAAACGTTTTATGGTCTAACGAGAAAAAGAATTGCCCGTTTGCTCAGAGGTCCAAAGTACACTTGTCAGACCAAAGCAAAATTCATATTTCATTTGTAAATCAAACCTCCACACTCTGCAGGAAGAGTGAAGGGGCACATAATCCAAGCTGCTTGAAATCCAGTGTGAGGTTTCCAAAGTCAGTTTTGCCTTTGGGGCCATGTATGCCACAGAGTTTCATCAAGTTTATTGTCAGCAGTGACCTTTTTCAGAAAAATTTAGAACATTTCAAGCTTCCTACTGCTGAGTCATCTCACAGAGAGGCTGATTTTATTTTTAAGCCAGACTTGATACCTGTCGACTCTTAGGGACAATTTGACTAACTAGCCAGCAAACTGGCCTGACCTTCACCTGAGAGAACCTATGGGGAATTGTCGAGGGGAAAATGAAGGACAGCAGACTTGATGTTGACGAGCCGTAGGTTGCAATAGAGAAGCTACCTGGGATTCCTGAACACCTCAGCAGAACCACAGACTTGTAACTCTATACCACACAACAAGGTCAGAATTTTCAGACAATCCCGGTTTAACTTTTTCATTGGTCCTATGGTCTGTCGTTAGCTGTAAGCCATAACCATCACAATTAACGTAATGAAAAGCTTGAAATATGTCAGTCGGCCTGTGATGAATCAACCTGATATGAGTCTCACTTTAAGTTGAACTGATGACACACATTTAGTTTCTCTAGTTCATGTGGCTAATGAATCAATCTAAAAACAATCAGTTTTTAATTTATGTAACATTGTAGATTAATTTTATACATTTAAAATGATATTCATGGTGAATAATTTAGAAAGCTATCACAAAAATAACTGACCAATAGTAGAGAGAGCTGGGTCCCAGTAACAGCCAACCAGAGAGAGGCATTTTCTCTTGAGCTTCAGAGGAGCAGGCACTGAAGTAGATCAGCACAATGATGAAGAATGGAATATACCTGGGGAAAAAAAGCAGACTCCGTCATAAACTATAGTTAATATCTTCTCTTATTCACATAAATTCACGCAATGAACCCATCAAACCACTACATTGATCTGTCAAGGCTACAGCACAATTAAGGCAAAATAAAAAGCATTTACCAAAACCAGACTGAGTGAAGATGAACATTTCCCTTCATTAAATTCAATTATTTTTTTAATCAGCATTGAGTAAAACTTTTAAATACTTTGCTCAAAAGAAAAACTTTCACAAGTAATGTCTAAACTCAATCAGCAGCAACATTCCTGAGCTGTAAATTAAACGGCAGGAAGAGCAGAGCTACACGACTCTAATTGCCGAAAATAGGCTTAAAAACAAATGACAATATTTTTGAAGCAGAACTTGTCCAGTCTTCATAAACTGATGTCACATTAAAAATAAACAGAAATATACTACCTTTTAGTATATTTAATGTTTCTAAATTAATACTTTATATATAATATCAGATTAGTTGGTATAAACTGATATAATAAAAGTAATCAGAAATGAACTTTTTTTTGTCTTGAATGAATGTTTCTAAATTATTAGGCCCGAGCAGCTAAGCGCTGCGAAGGCCTATTGTTTCTGTACTGTTTCTTATTATTAGGCCCGAGCAGCTAAGCGCTGCGAAGGCCTATTGTTTTCCTACTGTTTCTTATTATTATTCTGCCCCCCTAAAGAGGGGCCTTTTTGGGGGCTTTATCATTTTCAAAAACTCACCAAACTTGGCGGACGCGTAAAGGGAGTTTCAAAATTTTGTATTTTAAGGTCATCGCAAAAATCCCATAAGAAATGGCTCAATAGCGCCACCTACAAATTTTCAAAGGACCCTTTGCTATTCACTTACTTTATCCTAGAGACATGAAATTTGGTACACTTGTAGAGCTCCCCAAGATGCTCAAAATTTACAATTAATGTCATAGTGCAAGTATCACAGGAAGTCGGCCATTTTTGGATTGAAGGTCCAATTTTGAGGCCATTTTTGCCGTTTACAGCCTTCGTATTTGTTCGAACTCCTCCTAGGGATTTCGATTGATCGGCTTCAAACTCGGTCAGTCTGCTCATAAGGCATGTCTCATCTAAAGTTATCAAAACGGTGAGTTTTTGAGTATGCTGAAGGGGGGTTAGCAGGGTCAAAGTTCACCTACTCGCCATAAAAACATAAAACTGCTATATCTCCTACACAGAAATTCACAGAGGCACCAAAGTTTCTGTGATTTATCATCATCGGGTGTCCTACAATACCTAATGGTCGAATGATGACATCACTTAGGCCACGCCCCCTGAGAACAGGAAGTGTAATGTTTTACTGTGAACTGTCGCTATCTGACCCCTTTGACCTCATCAACATGAAACTGTGCCAAGACACAGAAGACATGTTGGTGTATTGAGGATTCCAACCCCGACCAGCTTCGATGGAGCAGGTGGGCGTGGCGGCGTGGCGAAGTGACCTGTAACGCCATCGCCATACGTTTGGCTCTCAATTCCACATTTTCAGGCCCAGCTGCTCCACTCACAAGGATGGATCTTCATCCACTCCCGACAGGAATCCATCACAATATTTGGTGGGCGTGGCCTAATTTCTTTATAGCGCCCCTAGAAAATTTTAAATGATCAGCCCCAAGCCATGCTTTAACCTACAATTACGAAACTTTGTACACATTTGTATCATGTCAGGACTTAAAAGAAAGTCTCTTGGAGCCATGGTCTAAACCCCACAGGAAGTCGGCCATTTTGGATTGAAATTCAGATTTTGACCCCATTTTTGCCGTTTACAGCCTTCCTATTTGATCCAACTCCTCCTAGGGATTTCGATTGATCGGCTTCAAACTCGGTCAGTCTGCTCATGAGGCATGTCCCATCTAAAGTTATCAAAACGGTGAGTTTTTGAGTATGCTGAAGGGGGGTTAGCAGGGGTCAAAGTTCACCTACTCGCCGTAAAAAAATAAACTGCTATATCTCCTACACAGAAACTCACAGAGGCACCAGAGTTTCTGTGATTCATCATCATCGGGTGTCCTACAATACCCTATGGTCGAATGATGACATCACTTAGGCCACGCCCCCTGAGAAAAGGAAGTGTCATGTTTTACTCTGAACGGTCGCTATCTCACCCCTTTGACCTCATCAACATGAAACTGTGCCCAGACACAGAAGACATGTTGGTGTATTGAGGATTCCAACCCCGACCAGCTTCGATGGAGCAGCTGGGCGTGGCGGCGTGGCGAAGTGACCCGTAACGCCATAGCCATACGTTTGGCTCTCAATTCCACATTTTGGGCGCAGCTGCTCCAAACTCACAAGGATGGATCTTCATCCACTCCCCGACAGGAATCCATCACAATATTTGGTGGGCGTGGCCTAATTTCTCTATAGCGCCCCCTAGAAAATTTTAAATGATCAGCCCCAAGCCATGCTTTAACCTACAATTACGAAACTTTGTACACATGTGTACCATGTCAGGACTTACAAAAAAGTCTCTTGGAGCCATGGTCTAAACCCCAGAGGAAGTCGGCCATTTTAGATTGAAGTTCAGATTTTGATCCATTTTTGGCGTTTATAAACCATTTCAGTAATTCGCCACTTGGGGTCAGTATTGCTCCACAAATGAAACAGCAGATAAACAGGATGAAGAACAATATCAGTTTTTCGCCAGTAGGTGTCAGTGTTCCTCCACCAATGACAAACAGATCCACGGGCGGATGGGCGTGAAAACTTTGTGAGAGCGTTGCCATGAAATTTCTAAAAGGATAGAAATGTCTCAGATAATTTTTGTTGAATTAAATCATGCAGTAAATGTAGCGTTTTCTTACTTCTTACAAACCATTTCAGTAATTCGCCACTCTGAGTAAGTATTACTCCAACAATGAAATAGAGTGCTTTAGAAACACAGCTGAAAATGATGAAAAATGACGAACTGTAGTACTTCGCCATGTGCATATGATCGGCTGTAAATGACACGTGGATCATCCGACTGACACCAAATTGGATACGTATGACCTTTGTTGACCTCTAAAGAGAACAACAGCATTGAAAGATATTTTGACTCCACTGCGCGTCCTACATTAATCCGCCAGCTATATTTCCTCGCTAAACCAATGAATCTGCACCACATTTTTTGCATCGTCAAGGAGCGCCTCCGAACGCATCAGTGCGTACCGCCTGGTGGACGGGCGCGGAAACTGCGCAACAACTTCTGTGTTAGCACGTGGGCAGCGTTGATGGAAACTGAGCAACAGCTTCCGCGGTGTGGGCGGAGGCGCTAAAAACTGCGTGAGAGCTTCTGTGGTGGCTGACGTGAGGCGACGGTTGCTAGTACCCCGCGGTGGCAATAGGCCGGAGCGGCGCTTGGCTGCGAGGGCCGTTCGAGGCTGCTTGCAGCTTTAATTATTATTATTATTATTCTTCCACCCAAATGAATTGGCTTTTTGAGGGCTTTATCATATTCAAAAACTCACCAAACTTGGCGGACGCGTAAAGGGAGTTTCAAAATTTTGTATTTTAAGGTCATTGCAAATATCCCATAAGAAATGGCTCAATAGCGCCACCTAGAAATTTTCAAAGGACCCTTTGCTATTCACTTACTTTATCCTAGAGACATGAAATTTGGTACACTTGTAGAGCTCCCCAAGATGCTCAAAATTTACAATTAATGTCATAGTGCAAGTATCACAGGAAGTCGGCCATTTTGGATTGAAGGTCCAATTTTGAGGCCATTTTTGTTTACAGCCTCCGTATTTGATCGAACTCCTCCTAGGGATTTCCATTGATCGCCTTCAAACTCGGTCAGTCTGTTCATAAGGCATGTCCCATCTAAAGTTATCAAAACGGTGAGTTTTTGAGTATGCTGAAGGGGGGTTAGCAGGGGTCAAAGTTCACCTACTCGCCATAAAAACATAAACTACTATATTACTACACAGAAACTCACAGAGGCACCAAAGTTTCTATGATTGATCAACATTGGGTGTCCTACAATACCCTATGGTCGAATCATGACATCACTTTGGCCACGCCCCCTGAGAACAGGAAGTGTAATGTTTTACTGTGAACTTTCACTATCTGACCCCTTTGACCTCATCAACATGAAACTGTGCCCAGACACAGAAGACATGTTGGTGTGTTGAGGATTCCAACCCCGACCAGCTTCGATGGAGCAGGTGGGCGTGGCGGCGTGGCAAAGTGACCTGTAACGCCATCGCCATACGTTTTGCTCTCAATTCCACAGTTTCTGTTCCAGCTGCTCCAACCTCACAAGGATGGATCTTCATCCACTCCCCGACAGGAATCCATCACAATATTTGGTGGGCGTGGCCTAATTTCTCTATAGCGCCCCCTAGAAAACTTTAAATGATCAGCCCCAAGCCATGCTTTAACCTACAATTACGAAACGTTTACACATGTGTACCTTGTCAGGACTTACAAAAAAGTCTCTTGGAGCCATGGTCTAAACCCCACAGGAAGTCGGCCATTTTAGATTGAAGTTCAGATTTTTACCCCATTTTTGCCGTTTACAGCCTCCGTATTTGATCGAACTCCTCCTAGGGATTTCGATTGATCGGCTTCAAACTCGGTCAGTCTGTTCATAAGGCATGTCCCATCTAAAGTTATCAAAACGGTGAGTTTTTGAGAATGCTGAAGGAGGGTTAGCAGGGGTCAAAGTTCACCTACTCGCCATAAAAACATAAACTGCTATATTTCCTACACAGAAACTCACAGAGGCACCAAAGTTACTGTGATTGATCATCATCGGGTGTCCTACAATACCTTATGGTCGAATGATGACATCACTTAGGCCACGCCCCCTGAGAAAAGGAAGTGTCATGTTTTACTTTGAATGGTCGCTATCTGACCCCTTTGACCTCATCAACATGAAACTGTGCCCAGACACAGAAGCCATGCTGGTGTGTTGAGGATTCTAATCCGACCAGCTACGATGGAGCAGGTGGGCGTGGCGGCGTGGCGAAGTGTACTGTAACGCCATCGCCATACGTTTGGCTCTCAATTCCACATTTTTGGGCGCAGCTGCTCCAACCCACAAGGATGGATCTTCATCCACTCCCCGACAGGAATCCATCACAATATTTGTGGGGTGTGGCCCAATTTCTCTATAGCGCCCCCTAGAAAATTTAAAATGATCAGCCCCAAGCCATGCTTTAACCTACAATTACGAAACTTTGTACACATGTGTACCATGTCAGGACTTACAAAAAAGTCTCTTGGAGCCATGGTCTAAACCCCAGAGGAAGTCGGCCATTTTAGATTGAAGTTCAGATTTTGATCCCATTTTTGCCGTTTATAAACCATTTCAGTAATTCGCCACTTGGGGTCAGTATTGCTCCACAAATGAAACAGCAGATAATCAGGATGAAGAACAATATCAGTATTTCGCCAGTAGGTGTCAGTGTTCCTCCACCGATGATAAACAGATCCACGGGCGGAGGGCGTGAAAACTTTGTGAGTGTGTTGCCATGACATTTCTAAAAGGATAGAAATGTCTCAGATAATTTTTGTTGAATTAAAATGCAGTAAATGTAGCGTTTTCTTACTTCTTACAAACCATTTCAGTAATTCGCCACTCTGAGTAAGTATTACTCCAACAATGAATAGAGTGCTTTAGAAACACAGCTGAAAATGATGAAAAATGACGAACTGTAGTACTTCGCTATGTGCATATGATCGGCTGTAAATGTCACGTGGATCATCCGACTGACGCCAAATTGGATACGTATGACCTTTGTTGACCTCTAAAGAGAACAACAGCATTGAAATATATTTTGACTCCACTGCGCGTCCTACATTAATCCGCCAGCTATATTTCCTCGCTAAAGCAATGAATCTATACCACATTTTTTTGCATCGTCAAGGATAGCCGCCGAACGCATAGATGCGTACCGCCTGGTGGACGGGCGCGGAAACTGCGCAACAACTTCTGTCTTAGCACGTGCGCAGCTTTGATGAAAACTGAGCAACAGCTTCCGCGGTGCGGGCGCAGGAGCTGAAAACTGCGTGAGAGCTTCTGTGGTGGCTGACGTGAGGCGGCGGTTCCTCGTACCCCGCGGTGGCAATAGGCCGGAGCGGCGCTTGGCTGCGAGGGCCGTTCGAGGCTGCTTGCAGCTTTAATTACTTTTGCAACTTTAGGAATTAAATTTATGCTAACTACTCTGAAGCACAGGTAAAACACAGATTCATGCTGATCACTGCTCTCTGAAACATCAAGGTCAGACATCTCTCCTGCTGAGAGGAAATTATGCAGCTCTTACAACAGTCATAAACCTGCCAAAACGACTCCCATCTATTCAAACATAAGAAAAAGGATATTATATTCACACACCTTGGTTCACTTCATGGAAAGCAACCAAAGGCTTGTTCTTTTATATTTATGTTTTCCAATTACTTCTCTTTAAAGATAAGTATATATTCAATGCTAATAGACCCTCCAATTGTGAATGTGTTAAAGCCAAGGAGAAGGACTTCTAATAAATTTAAGATGATAGTTCTCAGAGTTTTTCTTCTTTTTTGTTCCCATCTTTGAAAAGTGTGACCTAACGTCAGGTAACTAATGAAATACTAAAGGTCAACTTGAGGAGATATTCACGGTCAGTGTCATTAGTCCTGCTAATTCATTTATTATATAAAAAAGTGAATTTACATCCCACTCAGCATTTTCAACGATGACAGTCTGGCTTGTAATTAGCTAAGTGAAAGAAGGCTGAGTCAGTCTGCAGTTAAGATACCGCGTTGGAAATGAAATAAAAGGATTATTATCTACAAGGACAAAAGGCTTGCTTTTCAACGCTCATTTTCCAATTTTTATTTATGTTATGTTTCAGGCGTACCATGAGAAAGAAGCTGGTGGGCTGCATGTGTCAAGGCGGTTTTGCTCTGAAAAGCAAACCTGTGTGATGGACCAAACAGATATGGCGAAGAGAAGCAGAGCACAGGCCGAGTCCCTGATCCCCCATCCTGAGGCCAGAATCCCTTCACCTTCATAGCTAGGCTACCAGCCCACAGCAGCAGAGGGAACATAAAGTCCTGTGGTGTTTTTGAGTAATGTGCTGCATGGTGGGTGTACATCTCGATCAATGGGCTGGAATTTAGTACTTTATTTTGTCCTACAACCTCATCAAGTTACTTTGATTTCTATTTTTATTTATGCTTTTCTTTATTTCATATTACTTTCAAAATATGAGCTGATAAGGAAACTGTACCTCCATGCTTCAACAAGGGGGTTGAGTTAAGCTTTGACAGCAGCAGTACTTGTAAGTAAAAAGTTGGTAAAACTTTATTTATGTAGCACTCTTCACAGACAACATACAACATGTAGGAAAAGCACATCAAACCTGAATCACATCTTATTTCACTGCATAACGGGACTCAGATGTAAGTTTGGAGCATTGTTAAGTTTTAACTTTCAGATCTGCTTCGACTATAAAAATAAATTCAACTTATTTAAAAAAAAATTTCCACCTATTTGACAAAAACTGTATTGGTCTCTCCTAAACTTGAGTGGACCTTGTGGACTGGCACTCTTTTTTTTTTTTTTTGGCTGAATTTCACCCACACAGAACTGGACACACCCGCAGAGATTATGACTGAATTTTGATGACGCATAAAAAAAATATGCCTTTGATAATAAATTCCTCCCTTTAATTTCTCCTCAGAACTAGGGCAAATGTAAATGCCAGTGCCTACTTTGAGCTCAGCCAGCAGCCTCTGGAAATAACCTAGTATGTAAGTAATGGTGGCAGATCACAATGGCTTCTGCGATGTTTGATCATGAGCTAAAAGACAGCGAAATTGTTTAAAACATTCTCAGAGTCTGGACTCCTGCTTATTTATAAACCAAATTTATCATTTTAAATACTTTTAAACAGTAATGCGTAACTAAATTATGACTCGCTGCTTTCAAACTTAGCCAGCGCCATTTCATTGCATCTATAAATCATGTCTGTAATTATCCCAAACACGTACCACATTAAGTGTCCCAGGTGTTCATCGTAATAATACAGCAGCTCAAATGAATCGATCTGTAAAGGAAGGACAAAAACATTGGATCAGAGATGGGAACTCCTTCCAAAACCCGCAAGTACGTTCAGCCAACTGTGTGTTTCAGCTTTATGCAACATTGCCACCTACTGATGCTGCACGCTTTATTTCAGAAACACCCTTAGAGACACTGCAGAAACATATTAACAAAAAATAAAGTGTGGAGAATGATAACAGAAGCACACACTTTCAAATGCAGCACAGGGGATTAATTAGGAGGACGTCACGAATCGCAGTTGGCCTTTTATGTTGTGATTTTTCCCAAACTAAACCCATGGGGGTACAAACAAACCATCAAGCATTTAGGCAAACTATAAAATAATACACATATTGCAGCAGTTTTGTTTTTTTATAATTTGCCTCTGATTTGTTTTTCTGAATTATCCAGCTTTTTAGTGACACTTAGATGTTAAAGATTGTCAAGAAATGCAACCTAAGTAAATAAAAAATATTCTGCAATCTGATATTTACTTCTAAAAGAGGGGAAAGGGGTCACAACCTCATGTAGAGACAAGCTGGATTCTGTTGTTCGCAACCAGCTATGTACAAAAATATCCTTTTATCCCCCCCTAACCTTTGGGTGGCCGAATAGCCATTTTATCTATGGTTTCTGCTGACATAATTAGCTATAATTCCTAAAAACATGCAATTATAAAGGTCCTAATGCTTTGATGCATTCTTGCTATTCAGTAATGATGTGCTGCTGTACACTCAGTGACAGCATATTTGGGGAAAATCAGGTCTAGTGTCTAGTGAAACAAACAAAAACAGTTGTGAAAGTTTCCAGATACACTTGGATCGCCTCCATTTAAATGAAGGCTATTAAACATTTAGTTTTATGCAATCTGCCGTACCAACAGTAAGTGAAATACTGGCCTCTGGGTTTGTCTGACTAAAGTTGATGTCTCTACAGAAACTGAAGTTTGTTTATTTATCAAAAAGCTTCTTCATGGAAGTCCCTTCAGTTTTTTCGCAATTTCACCATTTTGGAAATTCATGCAAAATTAACATACACCTGCATTTTTTTACGAGAATTGTGTGTTTGTTGCAAATTTTCTGCAAAAACTGTAAAATAAACATTAGGTGGAAGTGACTGGTAACTCCTGTCTTCTACTATGATGCCTCAGCCTTGCCTGATGTGACGTACATGATTCATATGACAGTAATTGTCACATTTCAATTACTGTCATATGCAAGCGCAAACATAGCAAAAGCAGTACCAAAAAATATTGGATTCTGACTGCATTAAAATCAGATAATCATAAAATCCAGGATTGACCGTAATGAGTCAGAAGAAAGCAGTTTCAGTTTTTATTTTTATTTTGTCAGAAGAACACTGAGAAAAGTCATTTATGATCTAAATCATTTTTATCTCTGTGTTTTACCTGCTCTGAGGATCTTTGGTCACTCTTGGTTTTTTAAGTTCATTTCATTTCAACCTAGATTTCCTCCACTAAATTAAAAATGTTCCTTCTCCTGCGCTGTTCACACACAAGGAGACGTGACTCAATAAAATTATGGCTCCTGGCGCTGCCCTGTTATTTCCAAGAATCTGTCACCACTGGGATTGAAAAACCTAACAAGAAGGAGGCGTTATTATCAATCAAGCAGCTTGTTAGTGAGTTTGTGGCAGTGTGTGCTTCAGTGCCAGCTTTCATTTCTGATTGTTGTCAGAGCAGCAGCGATGCTCTGAAGCCCAACAATCAAAAAACATTCTAAAACAGGAGTCCTGAATTAACTCGCAGGTCACAGACTCTGATTGATAGAAGTAATTGCATATCAAACTCATCATCTCCTGCTGTCAGGTGGCTGTGACGGGCTGAGGGGAAACAAGCTCTTTCCTTCTGCAGCACAAACCTGCATGAATCATAATTGATCTCTAGATGCGCAGCGTGTTGGCTGACAGAGATGAACAAGCTTGTTTCATAATAAAGTCGCAGAAGGGGTGCAAACAATCTTTGGGAAAACAATAACATTGAACTGAGAGAAAAACCAGAGTCACTTTCCAATTCTATACGAGGCGTGGATACCACACCTGATGGGTAAAACTCATAAATCATCGCAATTTCAATGCCAGTGTGAATTTGATGGAGCGTGCGGGCGCCTTACCAGGGAAGCCGGTTTGAGGTCTTTGATGATTGGGTTTTCTCTGACTGACAGGTGCAGCTGGTAGCCGCTCAGGATGAGCCGGTGGTTGATGGAGTCTCCCACCAGGTGGATGCTGGCCCCCATGACAAACGTGATGATGCAGAGGTGGACGGCTGTGCGGGAAACTGGCCTGGGAGCGCGCTCAATCAGCTGCAGGGAGCAGAACCACCCACTTGTTTTATTTAATACCGGCTGTGTCAGGGAAAATAAAAAGTTCTTTTGGAGCTCCTATGTGGATGGTAAGACTTCTGTGGCTTCCTTTCAGACAACTTTATGGTAATGTGATGTATTTTCCCCTTGACTTTTTTACTGAACCCAGCCCTCCTATTTTCCTGCTAAGCTCCACTGGCTTTTGTTCTTACTGTCAGCCGTCTGGTTCTTCCTTTGTTTCAAGCAACCCTCTGCCGTAAATGTAATGAATAATACATAGCGAGGAGGTTGTTGTTAGTTTAATAACGCCGTCTCACAAGAAAACCTCCTGCCCAAAAGTAAAAACAAGTCCAAAGCAAGCTTGATTGCAGGTGCCCTTCATTGTTTTCTATTCTATTCTCTTTGTTCTCCTGTTCTTTGTTTATGTTACTGAGTAATTAAAACTCCATCTGCCTTCATATTTTTAGACAAGTCACTTTTTTCTTTTTTGACTCTGTTCCAAGTGTCAGGGTTTGCAGAATAACAGCGATACAAAAGCAATTTCCTAATTAGCAGCAGTGATTTTTGTTCTAAAACACAGACGGGGAGGATGCTTATAGCTCTTTGAGGCAGATAATAAAGTCCAGTCACACAGAAAGCTCTCAGCTCTGATATTTTTATAGAACAAAAAAATTATGTTGTATTCCACATAAAAGAACAGAGGACACTGTAAAATTAGGGTAGGAAGAAAAAGACTTCACAGTTTTACAAATTTATCCATTTTGGTTCCGTTTCATCTCACTACACAAAATAAGGGCCATATGGATATTTGATATTTAGTTTATTGCATCTTAGGTTACATTTAAGTCAGTTACTCTATGTGTGCTTTGTGGTATAAAATACAATTTCTAAATGTCGGAAAATGCAGTACTCATCGCCCTCTTTCAATAGAGGGCGATGTAACTGGCAAGGACAAACACAACCACGTTAACGCAACAGCCTTGATGCTGTAATAACCTTGTTGACATTAATTAAACTCTCTAATATACCTCTGGCTTCAATTCATACTAATAATTCTCAAAATATGTCAATAACTCCTCTAAAAATAGTCTATTTTTCACCAATTATTATTTTTAGCCATTCCCAAAACAACTGATAAATGCAAAACATACTGATCTGAAGTCTCTGCCATCAGGTACATTAACAAAAATAAACTGCATGTTATGAGTTCAGGACATCTCCACACTTCATAAAATAAAAATATTTTATGTTAGTGTTTATCTCTATGTTAGAATGTACTTATTTTAATCTAAGCATCTCACAAAAATATCCATGCAGTTATTTATTAAACTCACATATTTTATTTTTAAAAAATAAATAAATGGGGGGGAAAAAAGACGAAGAAGGCAAAGCAAACATAAAGTAAAGGTAAAGCAAACATAAAGTTGGGGTCGGAAACTATCTCAGCAGAGCTGGCAATGCAGTCCTCTGCTGCGCCTGCAGAGCAAAGATAAACCAGAGAAGCAGCAAATCCAGACACAAATTTCTGGTCTCACCTTAAGTGAGTCTCAAAGCAGATTGCATACCACCAGAAGAGATGTTTTTGGGGGTTTTTTGCTATTGATTGTAGCCCTGTATTTCTACATTACTTACTAATACCAACATTCAGTAGTCATTCTTGTCTAGGCATTATGTTGATTTAAAGGTTATTGTTTATTTTTTAGGGATGTATGATGCAGCAATTGGTAGCAGTTGTTGCTTTCCAGCAGGAAAGTTAAATCACAGTCTAGAGTCCTTTTGGATGGATTTTACATGTTTTTCCAGTGCATGTGTGAGTTCTCTCTGGATACTCTACCTTATTCCCACAGTCCTATTAACTTATGAGTCTTTCTAGATTGCCCATAGAGGTGAGTGTGTGCAAAGTTGTTCTTTGTGTGTGTGTGTTGCCCTCTGACCGACTCGCAACCTGTCTAGGGTGCACTCCGCCTCTTACCTAATGAGCAACACTGCATGGACAAGCTGTTCATGTTTGTGTCCAACTAAAACTAACACCCATCCACCTAGAATATGGATGGATATTAGTTTTCACTTGCAGTCAGTTTTCACTTCCTGCAACTGGGTTTCTGCAGCTTTCACCAACTGAAATATAAGACTTTATAACACCATCATGAATGGAATTTGTAATATCTAAGAAAATTTTAGATACATTAATTTAAAGGCTTTTTAAGGTTGTGCAGATACCCTGTATAATAAAATTATTGACGAAAAGAAAAGTCTTTTTGGAATTTCTTTTTGTAAGTTGCAAGCAACTTACAAAAGACGCATAGATAAAACAAAAAAATGACAAAATTATCAGAGTTAAGCTTTAATTTGTAAAGCTGAAAAACATCGACAAAGATTATTCTGAATCCACCCTGGAGACAGATTAGAATTTCTTTATGAATGTTAAGTTAAACCTGCAAAAGCTGATTTATCATCATCAAAGAGCCATATGGCTAAGATTTACCTTGAGCAGCAGGAAAGGTGTGACGACATTATAGATCATGTGGAAATAATCTCCAACACTTGGCTTGTTCAGAGGAAACCACTCCAAAGGAAAGACAATCTAGCATACGAAACATGTGGAAACATTTTGCTTTTTATTCATCCCTAAACTTTGGATGCATGTCCAACCATGTCAATTACAAAGTAGGAGTTTAAACATCTACATACCATGGCGATGGGTCTTCCAAAGTCAAGTATCCAGTTCTGTAGAGTCAGACAGAGCCAAAGGTCAAAGTGAAAAAGTTGCCTTTCCCTCTTTGGGGTATCTTCTTTGCAAACATCAGCAGGGCTGTGAAAACACATTCGCAATAACAATAAGTCATTCTAATAATAACCACGGAAATTTCACATTCCGATGACATTCTGGATTACATTATACTGCTGCATGTACGACTGCAATAATTCAGATTAAGCGGCTGCCCTGATAGGTTTTTGCTGCTCTCTGGTTGTATGTGCAGTGCATAGTTAAGCAGCAGCATGAAGACTGGAGGAACATAACTTCATAAACACAAAAAAAGTACAGCAAAAAGTTTAATGATAACATTTTAATTAATGACCTCATATCAATCACTCTACCAGTGCTGTTCCTGCAGGCTTTAAGTACAACAGTGCTTCTTCAGCTGTGGATTTGCTGACTGATGCAATTTGCCATGTTTATCGTGAACAGCTGTGCAATTTCCTGAGGAGCCGTGGGAGAAAAAAAGCCTTAGGTTTCTGTCTATCCAAATACAGAGCTGAGCCAAAATGGGTGAGTGCAGACAAATGCACTATTGGCCAATCAATCCCGTCTGCCAAGGACTTGAGCAATGTAAAACAATCACAGGCTCCTTGTCAACGCCAACAAAACTGAACTAGATCACCAATACAATGCCATAAAATACCATGTCTTCTATTTTTGTCACACAATTTAAATAAAATGTGTCACAGTAATTTTAAAAACTCCTTTAAGTAATGATTTTATTATTAAAAAGGAAAAAAGGGGCACATAATTCCTGTAGTCCAATAAAAAAGGTAACTACCTCAAGGCATGTGTAATGAACAATAAATCAGTTAATTGGATGCTAAATTAAAATAAGTTCAAAAATTTTCATTTTTATGATTTAATGCTTTTCTCTTTTCTCTTTCTACCAAAAACTGGATCACAAAGGTCTTCAGTCTGGCGCTTTGGTCTCAACTTTGACTGAAAATTATGTTAACAGATACAGACACTTCATAATTAATTTTATTTATGTTGGATATTAAAATCTCTTCCAGTTCCAGTGTTAAATGTTCATTAAAATTTAAAGTCTATTGATCGTTGAGAATGTGTTCTTGCGTAACAATGCCATCACCATTATACTACTTGAAAAGAGTCAAGAAAAAAAATATAATTCATTGCAATAACTTCTGGGACAATTTATCATCCAGAAAACGTGTTATTGTGACAGGCTTAATCGCCTTCTTTATTAAATCTCAAATTCACTATCATTGAACTTTTTTTTTTTTAATTCGAATGAAATTTCACCAGGCACAGTCAGGCCTAACTACCAACATGACCTTTCAAAACACATTTGAGTAGCACTAGTCTGACAACATGAACTAAGATGAAACATCTCAACAAGCAGCAAATAAACTCCCAATCTAAAACAAAATGATCCAGAACAGAAAAAAAAAGTTATCAACACCTAGAAAAGCTTTACATTCAGACTCAAATCTGATGCTATAACACAACCATAAGCAGGCCATCTATACTAGAAAATGTCTGATTCAAATCAATTCTGCAAAGAAAAATGGGCCAAAATGCCTTCATGGTGCTATAAAAACTCCCAGTTATCCAAAAACAATTTGTTGTTGCTGCCAAAGGTGAAAAATACTTTTCACATAGAGGTAGCTTTATCTAATTTTGTTTTTGTTTTTTGTAAAAAACTAACATAATCAGATATTTGAAAACTGCATTGTATATTCACGTAGTCAACAGCAACGCCACTTTCTGATCTGCCGTAGAAACGCAGATGGCAATAATGAAATTCTGGTGATGCTGCACTTCGCTCACAGAATCCTGTCAGATCTCTGAAGTCTAAAATACATCTCGTTTTAAGATGTATTTTAGTTAAGTGTGTGTGTGTGTATGTGTCTGTGTGCGTGTATGTGTGTGTGTGATGTCTGCACCCTTGATCAAAGAATCAAATCTGAAGTGATTCAAATGAATTGCTTTGGAGCTTAACAGCAGTTCTACATGGAGCAGACTGGAGGTTATAGCTGAAGCTTGGTCAGTTAAAAAAAGCAAAATAACAGTAAAGTCCCTTGATTCGTGATGTTGTTTGGGAGGTTTTTGAATGAGGGTGACAAAGCATTTGAAGGCAAAAAAAAAATCAACTGGATCATTTCAGAAGTATTTGCACATGGATATTCTAGTTTCCGAGGTGCATTTGACTGTACCATGCCATAAAACACGAAGTAGATGAGCAATCAAGATTCAAAACCCAGACTCGCGCGACTAAACATCGCACCGGTGAGGAAACTATTAACGGTGTAACACAACTCAACACAACACCACGAACTTTCAGTTGAACTGTGTACTACAGCTTTATGTGTCTCAAAAGTCAGGAAATTTCGGTGAAACAAACCACAACACCACAGACGGTCCAAACCTGTCTAAGTCGTTGCCTCGACGCTTTCGTAAATTCTCCATTGCCAGTGCCGTCTACTCTGTCCGTCTTTAGGTACTGAATCAGAAAACAAACCAGTGTCCAAACGGCAACAGCTTAACGGGTCTTGAATTCATTGAAACTGATGGCCGAAGTCTCACTTCCTTGTTTTCCTCTTGGCTCCGCCCCTTAGCTACAGCCTCCAATCAGAATGAAGAACACGACAGAAGTGGCGAAATAAAATGACGAAAGCAGCCAATGAGCAGGCGAAACAAAAGAAACTTCATGTAAATCGCAGAAGTGTATTGAATTAATAAATGGGTATTATACAGATAAAGTGATACCAATAACAGAACTCCTCTGGCTCCCACTTCTGATAGTACGGAGCCGTCCTAAATAAGCTCAGTTTCACAAAATGGGAGGATTTAAGAACAAAGATTCCACTGTAAAGGTATGAAATTCTCAAAATAAATGTTGTTAAAATGTAAAGAAAAGCAGAAACTTATTATTATTATTATTATTGTTGTTGTTGTTGTTGTTGTTGTTATTATTATTATTACTTGTATATATTTTTAATTATCTTTTGAGAGATGTCTCAAAAAGTTAAGAAACTTCTTCCTTGTAAATTCTTATCTCCACTACAAGTGGAAACAAAAACAAAAGAGCAAATTTTTTAGGAAGAAGATGGTGAACAGAAGCATATTAGAGGTACATTATTTATTTATTTATTCATTCATTCATTCATTCATTTATTTGTGGCAATTGTGTTCTTTATTTATTCACAGCTGGACAAAGAGAATAGGAGAAACCAGGAACCGAGCTCGAGAGAACCGCATTGAGCAGCATTGTCCCTGCAAACAGTGAGTCTCACCATGTGGCAACTCTATGAGAGAGAATTTAACAAAATTCAGTTTATTCACTTGCTGGAGGCTGTGTTTTCCTTCAAGATCTCACAAGAACTAAAATATTCTTGGCAGAAAAAAAGCCCCTCAAGGCTGCTTTTAAGCATCTGAAAGAGCAGAGAAAAGTTGGTGTTTAAAGCGCTTTTCTTTGACATTAATAAATTGCGTTATTACAGCCTCATTGTCATTAACCCTGAATTTGGACTTGGGTTTAACAATCGCGAAATCATCATTTGTGAAGTAAAGTGTCATTTTATGTTGTGTGAAGTCATAGTGAAGGCTTTTTCAGGAACCTTTGAACCTTTCAAAAATGTCAGTTTACTAAAAAAACCAGCAGTTTTTGAACATTTCAAATAGCAGTTTTTTCTATTTGATGTTTTATTTTCTTTTGAGTATAACTTTTCGCCCTTACAGATAAGCTAAGGTGGACACAATGTTGGCTTCATTTTGACCTAACGTGGGCTGTTTTGTGATTTTGGTAGCAGATAAACATGTTGTTTGAATAGACCTGCAGTTTATTCTCTAATTAGCAGATGAGATCTGTCTGCGTGTGGGTGGGTAATGGCAATTTAAACAGTTTTTTTTAGTATTATTATTATTTCTGGGTTGCTGTTACTAAGTGAAATTTGAAGGAATTCATTTAAAAGATTTCTACTTACAGCTATGTTCATTTTAATTGGACCAAATATTTATAGAATCAATTCCACCTGGCCTCAAACATTCACCTAAACTGAAACAAAGGCAAAGATATGTCTTTGTGTAGAGAGACGTTACGCCGCATTTTAATTATTCATAGTTCATAATTGGAAATACAACATTATTAACCCTCCTAGAAGCTGGAATCCCAATTAGGAAGGTTTGCCATCTAATATTACATGAAGTAAAAGGTGCGAATATAAATTACTTATTGGCACTGTGGAGCTATTTGCATTTCAGAGAAATCAGCTATCAGGTGAATAATTTGCATCAAAACATCAAATTTTGTTTGTGGAAAAGCAGTAATAGCGTTGGTAAAATTATTAATGACTCCCGTGAATGCCTTTCTCACCACATTGCACAACATCACCTCCACATTCATCTGAGATTATTTACCTTTTTAGGGCTCCTAAAAACAGCACTTTTGCCTTGCAGCAAGAAGGTCCTGGGTTTGATTCCCAGCACCAGGGTCTTTCTGCATGGAGTTTGCATGTTCTGCCTGTGCATGCGTGGATTCTCTCCAGGTACTGCAGCTTTCTCCCACAGTCCTAAAATATGACTGGTTTGTTAATTGGTCTTTCTAAATTCTCCCTAGGGGTGAGTGTGCATGGTTGTTTGTCCTGTCTGTTTCTGTGTTGCCTTGTGACAAGAGTTTTTTCTATTTTATGTTTTATTTTCTTTTGAGTATAAGTTTTCGCCCTTACAATTAAGCTAAGGTGGACACAATGTTGGCTTCATTTTGAAGCAAACACTGGCGACCTGTCCAGGGTGGACCCTGCCACTCGCCCGGAACGCCGCTGGAGATAAGCACCAGCACCTCCCGACCCCACTAGGGTCAAGGGTGTATAGACGGATGGACGGACGGACGGACGAACGGACGGACGGACGGACGGACGGATGGATGTGCTCCTAAAAACACTTTCCTTTAATTTAAGAAATGAACACCCTCAGAAACACTGACGTTGCTATGCTACTAGAATAAAACTTTTACTGTGATCCTCTAATTACAGCTTTCAATCAGTCCGGTGAGGCTTTCACTGTCAACCAATGTTCCCTCTAATTGTTCATGTGTCTGGGCGTACACACAAGCTTCCTGGGCACACTGAGGACCACTGTGAGCATCATCAGTGTACACGGCGTGGCCACGCACAAGTATCATAAATCTGGGATCATAGAAAGTTGCATGGCTTATTAAAAAAATCTAATTACATCAGCCATTTTCATTCGTTTGCTTTTAATTTCAGTGATTTGCCCAATTAAAATAAAAAAAAGGAAAGAAAACATTGCTGTTCATGAGATGCATGCTATAAGTAAGAGTCCTGCTTCAGCCAGGGTGAGAAATGAGACATTACACCTTTCAGACATAAATGTTTGTTCATATTAAAACATTCACATTTTGCACAATGAAATGTTTTCTGTAGCTTGTGATGCAGTATAAATTCTTGTAAAATATTTAATTACAGTTTTTTTTTTACGTCTGCCCTTCTCACTTCTTCTCACTTCTCCAGTGGTTGTTCACTTAGCCCAGGTTGATGGTCAGTCTGCTTCTTGCTTTATCTACTTGAATTCAGCATATTGACTGTTAATGGCCTCCATAATCTGTGGGTGGAGGAGAATGGCCTCATACTTCTTAGCCAGTGTACAAATGTCTGCTTATCCAGTCAAAAGTCTGAACTCAACATTTCAATATCAATTGCAGACCATTCCTTTCATTTGATTTGATTCCATTTGAAAGAAGTGCATTTCTGTTTTTTTTTTACTTTGGCTTGGTGAGTGGATGTCCCACGTAGACATGATAAGGTGATGGCTTTCACGTTTCTTAACTCTACCGCACTATTCTCACCTGCACGGCGCATATGACCAAGGCACGTAACCCACGTACACACTTTCGCTGCGTAGCGAAAGTGAACCGTATCGTATCATTGGCTGGATTCCTGTCACTCACTGAGTTCGATCGCAAAGTAGTACGGAAAAAAAATTTATTGGTCCATAGTCAAAACTGATGTCTGAGCTCAATGTCCACTTTACGTTGGACTTTATTTTATGCGCTACATAGATTTTCTTGTGCGCTGAGAATATGTGAGCAGTGCTCGATTGCGCAGGCGCGCAGCTTAGAGGGACCATAGATCGTGACGTAAATCTACAAATTATTGTGAAAACAATACCTGATTACTACAGCTGCACTTTATATATTGAAATAAACATTTAATTTGAACCGTTAAATCGTTTTTAGTGAACTACAATTTTTAATCTGCTGTATTTCTTTAAATTCACATTCATATTCTTCCTGCATAATTTCTAGATCGTTCCTCTTTAGGTAAAAAAAAAGAATTTTGATTTTGATTCTGTTCAGCTGAATTAAGTTTTGGCACATCCACATTGTTTAGTTTCTGTTCGATGCCTGAATGATTCAACGTTAATGAAACGGATCAGGTATGTCCCAGTGTGAGACGTAAGAAATCGCTGATTGCTCTGCGGCTCGTTTTTACTTTCAATCGGAAGTCATTCTGGCTTTAACGTGTTTTTTTAACAACATGAACGTTCTTGGTGATATAAAAACGCTTTCATTAATGTCATTGTGTTTTTGTTCATGTTATAGAGCTTTTGTAATTGTCGTTTTAATTTGAACCTCAGGGCCACCGTACAGCCTGGAGCCAGGCTGGGGCGCTTTGGGAGCCCCTGGTGGCCAGTGGCTGATATGACAATAAAAAACCTTTAATCTCTGAACAATATCAACTATTTGTGCATCGAGAAATACACTTAGCATACTAAGGTAAATGTTATTTAATTTGGTTAAGAATAATTATCGTACCATCAATAAATGACTTCTAATGCATGTTGTTAGTTGCCAGAGCAACAATAACACCTTTATCAGCTCAGAGGTTCAAACTGATGAAAAGTGAGGATGGATGCTCTCTACTAAAGTATTCCTCGCCATCTTCCATGTTCTTTCAGCAAACAGTGGAGACAGAGTTGTTTTTGGTTTCTCCACCATTGACCGGCTACTTTACCCGCCATTGAAAGTTTTATTAAAGTTTGTCTGCTAGTCTGCAGCTCATGTGACCAAAGCAGGCGAAGAGGTGAAAGGTTAAAACAGTCAACATTGTCTTGTTGGGAAACCCCAAGATCACTGGGAGTCTTAAAAGATACATTTGATTATTTTAGTTCATTTTTATCTCCAAAGAGTGATGCTGCAAAAGTCTGAACAATCGCAAACGGACTGATTAGTGTGAAAAGACGTTCAATATTATTTTATTTTAAACACTTATTGAATGCTGAAACACCTATTCATTGATATTTTAACAATTGAATTGGTTTTTATCAATGCAACCTGGCACAACATTCAGATTTTTGATCTGGGCCCAAATGGAAATGAGTTTGATGTCCCTGACATAAGACAAGAGAATCATGGACTATTTTGACTGTAAACAAGATATTTGGAGGTGGAATGATGTCACACCGCCAGCAAAGGGAGATTCTGTGATGTCACTGGCGGTGCCGTCTGTGATGTCATCAACTGCAGAATTGTATGTAACACAATTCTGCATATTTGTCATT